AGCAGGAACCTGATAGCTCCACTGTTCATAGTCCAAGCTTCATAAAACAATAACACCCAATACACCGACAGTGATACAACTAAAGCAAAAGAACTGACAAAAAGAAAACAATTGTCAGTTCAATTTAGGGAAGAGAAGAAAGATTTAACACAAGAAGCAGCAGCTGAAAAAGGTGTTTATAGGTGGCTCTGAAAGACAGTTCCCTGTGACTGTGCTATTTTTTGTGGTGTAAACTACAGTATGTCTCTAGTTAAATCACCTAAAAGGCTGAAGACGTGTTTGCATCAGATCTGATGCAGGTATGAAGAACAAAAGAAAGGCAGCCTACCTGTTAGAGCAGTGGAGCTGGAAGTGTAAATGACAGGTTACGGAAGGAGGAACGAGAGATGCAGCACTGCTTCAAATTTCACTGAGAGGGGTTGAAGTCCAAGGCCAGACTGTACAGTACATGAGGTGTAAGCAGGGTGTGTGTGCGTATGTGTGTGTGCCTCCCCAAGTGTCATAATTACTGCAAGTTAAGAGGGCTAGTTATAGGGCAGGGATAAAAGCCAGCGGTGTGGTTGTGATGATGTCAAGGAAATTGTTGCCAGTGTTGAATTATGTATGAGAATGAATACACCTAGTATAAGAACCACACAGGTGCACTCATTCAGAAATTTACCTCCATAGCTTTTTTTTCTTTCTATATATATATATTAACCTTTTTTTTTAAACTTGGAAACATCTTGATCTGTTGTGAGACTTTTTTAAGAAGTCTTTCTAGATATATTACTGCAGCTTTAACACAAATAAAATTCCATTCTATTCCTCCATTATATTTGGGTTGAAGGTAGTGATCTCAGAGACAAATATACCTGAACAAATAGAATTAAATCTCAGCTCAGGGGTTAATACAGTAGGTTCTTCAGAAAATACAAATTTGACTGAGTCAAACTAATGCCATTTTGTTCAATAAATTATAAATGCCACTGACAGCTAACCTTGTGTAGTAGGCATTGTCACAACAATGCAGACAGAAACACAGTTAAAAGTGTTTAAGGAGCAAAAGACATGACAAAGAAAGGAAACTAGAAGTAGTTTTTGGCCCCAGAATGTCAGGGTATTATCACTGAGAATGTACAGACATATTTTTCCTATGATACAAATGCTGCTGTGTTCAGTTGCTGCTACTGCATGTGAGATAGTCAAAGCAAAGATTTATAGCACAATAAACTCAGCAAACATGCGGTTGCCAAGTCACCCAGCCAAGGAGTCTGCTGGGTCTCTCTCTATCTCTAATATCTACCTTCCTCCAATGGCATCTCTTGATGGTGTTTCTGGTTATCAGCATCACCGCCCAGAACTGAGTGAAGGACTGCTTCAGACGCTTGTAGTACTTCCTAGAAGAGGAGAGGGGCAGCAACACACACACACAGTGTTCTGTGTTAGAATACCACTGTCTGACCTCACCCCAGGGTCCAGGTGAAACCCAACTCCCTCTCAGTTCAGATTTCTGCTTCAACCTCACAACATCATCTCTTCTTCTCTAATTCATTCTTTCATTAAAGACACACTTTCACTGGTACACTGCAATTAGTCTTCTTAAATGTGGCAACATGTGATGAGTCTTCATCTCTCAATCTTAGTGTAAGAAAAGTCCAAAGTATCCAGAGGTGGAAAGTCAAGTCAGTACAGTCTTGTTTTCAAATCAAATCAAATCAAATTTTATTTGTATAGCGCCAAATCACAACAAAAGTCATCTCAGGACACTTTACAAAGTAAGGTCTAGACCTTACTGTTATCACTATTATTACATAGGGAAAACCCAACAAATCCCCCTTGAGCAAGCACTTGGCGACAGTGGGGAGGAAAAACTCCCTTTAACGGAAGAAACCTCCGACAGACCCCGGCTCTTGGTGGGCGGCCTTCTGCCTCGACCAGTTGGGGTGAGTGGATAGAGGAGAGACAAAAGAATACAGCAACAAGATACAACAAATAATGAAACACTGGTCAGGTTGATGTGGCTGGGGGCTGCTCGGCCGAGGAGGT